AGGAATTTGGCAGCAGGAAGTTACAGAAGGGTCCGCCAGCCACCCCCACTGCAGGTGGTGCTGCTCTGCAAAGAAACCTCCAAACCCAAACTGCAAGGCTGTGGTTTATTTTGAAGTGAGGCATCACTGAATAATACTATAGATCAGCCACAGGGGAGATTGCTTAGTAGAGTACTTGGCCAAAGAGAACTGCAACAACCACAAAGACATTTACATGGCAAAGCCAAATTGAGCTCATGTATACTCTGCCTTTCCAGGACTGAAAGGAAGGAGGGTGGGGGTGGAAGCATCTCCAGCAGTTAAATGATATCCATGTGTTGGGGAAAAAAATAAGGAGTTGCCAGAGACCTACAGAAATAGGTTCAATCTTGAGTGATTTTTTGCATATTTAAAAATTAAATCATATTGTTGCTGTAGGAGCTCCAGCTGCTGGGAGGGTGTGTGTCGGGGGTGATGGTTTTCCAGTTGCTTACTCATCTAATTAGCAACACTAGCACTGTGGCACCAGAGCAGGTAGCAAGCACCGTTGCTTATTCACACCATGTGCTGCAGGGAAGAGGGAAACAGCCAAAAGCAAAGAGTTAATTTCATTGCACTCTGGAAGATCCTTACAGAGAGCAGAATCAGAGCAAAATTCAAGGCTCATGCTTTGTGACAAAACATGAAGATTAAACTACTGCTTTGGCCCCAGCTATCTTGAGAAATAGCTCTCCTGCAAGGGAGAACTGAAGGCAAGACCTTCAGCACAGTCCTGAATATGCAATAACCAAAGATGCTAATGCTTATGGGCCAGGAATAAGGTGACAAAGAGCGTCCATGAAGTTGACTTCTCCACCCAAGCAGATGGTAGGAAGATCATCCAGCCCATTCCCAAATAACCTCTCATTTCACTAGCACAGGGTAAACAGATAGTGGCAATGAACTTCTAGACAGTCCAAGGTTCGGCAGGTGTCTCCATACTGTCCTTACTGAAAAAAGGTTTCTTTGAAATCTTCACTCTCCTCCCACATTTTGCTGTTCAAGTGTATTGCTAAGGGGAGCGGTTGGCTTAGGCTCTCCTCTCATCTCTCCTGTATATAGATATGTGTGTGTATATATATATATATGTACACACAGACACCTATTGCTAATGCTTCAGGTGCATCATTACTCCTCTTCCTCCTCCTCCAACCAAGGAAACATATTTCTTTCAGGGCCTGAAAAGAACAATGATCAAGTCCAACTTCCCAGCCACGTGAAGCACCTGGAGCAATATACTCAAGTTCTCTTTAAGGCTCCAGTTATACATTTCACAATAAATATTTTACAGTGAACACTGCAGTGAAGCTTTCATTTGGAGAAGATAAAACAAGCTTTGAAGCTAATGTTATGTATGTTTTATGCTGCTAGACAAGCTTATATTACCAGATGGCTGAGAGAACCACTCACAAGATAACAATAGGTTGGGAACCACAGTAATTTTAGCAGAAAATTAAAGGTCAATGATGTTCTTCACCCTCTATACACTTGGTAGGAAGCAAGAAGTGTGTTATGTGAACAAACCCTAGGGGTCTACTCCCATGCTAAACTGAGAATTTAACCACACTGATCCAGCCCTTAAATACAGTAGCATAAGACATGGGAAACCAGAGTTTGTGCTCCTGCTAGCCTAAGAGCAAAGGCAGGTCACAGACTGTAAACTGCAGCTTTCCCCATCAATAAAGGGGGCATCACAACACTTTGCTCTCTCAGAAGGAGAATGCGTCCAGGCTTGGTCCTCACAGTCCTCTGCCATACACCACAGAGAGCTCCCAGAAGTGCACTATGACAACCGCACATACAGGCACACATTTGTTCTCATCTCCAAGACTGTCACAGAGCACTTTTTGTTTTTGCTGTGATACAGTTAAAGATTGCAAGCTGCTCAGCTAGCTCAGGAATGAGGGCTGAGCAATCACTTTGGAGCCCAATGGCACACCATCATTTCAGACAAGGGAACTGGACTTCTGAATTTAGGGTTGCTGAAACAGCATGAGCTACACAATGCTGGAGAGGAGCAACCTTCCCCCACATCGTACTTGCTCTGCTATTGCCTGTTGTGAGCCTTCTCAGCCAACCTCAACGAAGAGCTAAGATGAAGATCCCATCAATCACCCTCCATTGTAGGACAAGGACTTTGCTGTGGCTGAACCTGCACTCTTCACATACTGCAGCACTGCACCGTGCAGCCCAATAGCAAGAATAAATCCCAAAACACCAGTACACCTCAAAACAGGGAATAAGTTTCTAATAGGGCAGCTGTTTTAATCTATTTTCAGTCAAGACCTTGAACAGCACAGGAGTTATTCCAGCCCTTCGCAGTGCAGAAGTCTGCCAGACAAGCCAAAGTTGCATTGTGAAACTGATTCCACTGAGCAATATAAATGATCTATTGAGAGCTGTATGCCATGCGTTCTAAAAGCCACTTGATGTGCCAGCACAAGTAGAATTTTCACCCCTCATTAAGTAAAGAAGAAAGAGAGAGACACTTAATTTCCAGAAATACAGTATAAGGCTGCACAGCTGCAAGTGTAGCCAAGCACATCGAGTTCACTAAGGGGCATGCAAGTCTTTGATTTGCATCTAATGCTTCTAAACTACTTTGAAGTTACAAAAAAAAAGCCCCAAAAACTTCGCACACTCTCAGCTTTTAAAAGTCAAAACCCATCCAAGTTAGAAAATCCAAATCCTTTATTTTCCACTGAAGGAGCATTTTCCTGGGAAAATACAAGGTAAGAAGGGAAAATAAAAGATAATTCCTGCCTAACACTTCCAGGGACCATCTTGCAATAAGCAAAACCTGTCTATGGTGCAGCCAGGTCTATCAGTTCAGTTCAATTCAGTGGATCCTGGATCAGGCTCTGCTCTGAGGACTATCCACTGTTTGGACACTGTATGGGTCTCACCACAGCTGTGTGTCTGCACCCAGTCTGGGAATGCATTATGCAGCTGCTCTGTGCTCTCTCTCCCCAGGAGAGTTGCGAAGTGTTTTGCATTTTTGTGTGTTTATAGATGAATACAGTATATTAGCAAAAGAGCAAGGGGAAAGCCCTGCACCTCACACATTTGGAGCCAGATCTGGGATGACCCAGGGGTCTTCTCCTGCAGCACTCCTACCTGAGGCCATTCCTTTATACCCAGATGATCATGGCTGGTTAATGGGACCTCAGCTAACTCATCAGATCTAGTTTTTCAATCGGGTCCTGCAGAGATTTTATATGTTTATTTGAAATGAGGCAAAAGGAAAGTAGGCAACTTCTAGCTCCCAGTAAATACTCACTTGTAAGGTTGCAACTGCGATCAACGTCCAAAACTATTCCTGTCCTTGCACTGAAGTGGCTCATACAACCCCTCTACAGAAACTGAGCACCGTGACTCAACTTTTCTTCTGTAGGTTTACTAGGACAGCCCTACTTCAGGAAGGCAACCTGCCATATGAAGAACTGAGTAGGAAAGATTTCAACAGATCCCCTTCCTCCTGTGTACAGCATTAGGGTCTTGCAAAACATTAAGCACGTGGAAGAATTTCAATTATGAAGCAGTTTTAGGTTCAAACATTTATTACATTCCTTATAAAACAGTAAAAAACATCAGATCCACTGAAAATTTTCCCAAGACATTTATATACATATCACAAACCAATTAAGTATTGTGAATATAAAAGTGTCACATTTCAGGTAGTACAGATTTTTTTTTCTATAAAAAAAAGCAGACAATCTTTTGATTTCAGTCTTTAGCCCTGACAAAAAGTTACACCCAGCTGGCCAGCCAGGGGAAGTACATATCCACACCCCTAACCTCAACGTGCCTGCGTCTGTACAGGTTAGGGTCAGGCAGGTAAAGCAGATACTGCTCAAGCCTGTACAGGAGGCACAGACACCATCCCAAAGAGACAACTGCAGAAGGACAGGTCTAGATGAGGCAGGCAGAAAGATCTCTGCAGATCCATAGGGATCAACTGGCATTCCCCACCCTGCCCTTCCTCGGCCAGCTCAAAGATCAGTGTTGCTTCCCTTCCTCCACCTCCCTTGGCTCAGTCTTGTCAGATGACCACTTGATAGCTGGGCTGCTTCATCTTCTGGTTCATCCCCTGGAGTCCTGAAATATCCTGGTCACTTTCAGACTGATCAAATTCCATGTCTGGAGAGAGTAACACCTAGAAAGAAGAACAGATGAAGTGAAAGTTGTCACCTCTTCTTGATACTGTTTGCTGAAGGGATCAAGCACCCCTAGAGGGGTCTGCTACAAGATCTAATCATCTCTGGCAGATGGGAAAAGGTCTCAAGATCACCTTGACCATCTCTCCAACAACAGCCAGACAGATTTGGGTACAGATACTGTGATGATTTGGTGTCCCAACACCCCCCCCCACCAAGAGAACAGGCAGCTACAAGCTCTGTTCACTGTGGTACAGGACTCACACACAGACGTGCGTGTTCAGGCCAGGCTGCAGTCTCAGTGGAGATGTATAAAAGCTAGGCCACATATTTTGTAAACAGCTGTACCAAATGTAGAATCTCCCAGCCTCCCCCAGCTACTTGCTATCTCCAAAGCCCAGCCAGGAGAACAAGCAGAGCTACAGTTAACTTCAGCCATGGCCAGCAAGCTCAGGAATGGTGTCCTAGCCTGGTAGCATCTTATTTCTACCTGGCACAGCAGCTCCTGGCTCAGACTGAATTGTGGGAGCCAAAACAGAGCACTGACACCTCTCACCAGTACCTCTTCAGGTTAAGAAAGCCCACAGCTGCATGATCAAAAGGCTGCCCATTGCCTCCAGGAACACCTACGCTCTCAGTAGCTAACTTCAGACTTGAAGCTACCAACAGGCTGTTTTGAGCTAACTGGCTGTCACCGGCCTGGAGCGTTTGCACGATGCAGACAGAGCCACGTGTGGGGCATCCTCCAGCCACATCATCTGGAAGAGGAAAAAGGCCGGATTTTACTCAGGCTATGGCTGCACTGACTGCAGAAGAGCTGAAACCCAATGCGAACCAACAGGCTGTATGAGCAGTTTGCATGGGTGATATTCATGGCTCGACAGATTGTTTGCTCAACCCTGTCCTACCTCTTCTTCTTACCCCCAAACCCCATCTTTGGGCAAGAGAAGCCCTACTGTCATTAGCCCTCACAGTAGCTACCTCTAAGCACAGCTGAAGCACTGTTAACCCTTGTGCTACAGCTTGTGTCATGCCCAGCAGTACTCAGGAGCTCAGTTGAATCACAGTAGTTCTGATAAACACAAGTCATCCACATCAGAAGCCTGGCCAGGTCCTTGGCACCTCAGCACCCAACTCTACAGAAGGGCACAAGCCTAAACAGCACAGCCAAGGGCCTCCAGTTTTACTTCCCTAGATAAGTCTTGCCAGCAGCCCTTGCCCCTTCCTCCACCTGCCCATCACAGAACCTGAATAGTATCATTAGTTCATGGCTGATGCAGGGACAAGGGCTAGGTACCACAACCACAGCTTCCTCCAGCCAGGCAGCTTAGACCTCCCACCCAAGCCCCAGCCCCACCTGACCTCACTTTGCTTCAAGGACTGAACCAATGCACTATGAAGCTTCCCTGTGCATAACCCACAGCAGCAACCTTCCTGCTCAAAGGCACAAGTCAAGGGATGGTCCATGGGCTTTCGGCCCAGCGCATTCACATGCGGAGTGTCCTCAACAGCTCAACCAGTCCCAGAGCCCAGCATTCCTTGGCCAAAACCAGGAGCATGGGGAATTAGTCTTATCTGTGGCAATCTCGGTGCACAGTTGTGAATTAACTGCCCTCCACTTGTTCGCACTTAGGCAGCACCACCAGGCCAGTCACCACAGCAACAAAACTAAACAGGAAAAACAAACTCCAATGAGTCAATGACTTCAAAGGAGCAGAAGAGCTGCAGGGAGAGATTTCCTCCTCACGCACACTCCAGACCTTCTGTCTGATGTTATCTTTACAGCATGTCAGACACTCAAAGGATAGCATTAGATCAGATTAAGCTCTCTTGTCATCCCCCCCCATAGGTCTCAAGGAATTTTTTTTTAGTTCAAGACACACACTGGAAAGTTTCCATCTCTTCCAAGTGAGGATTTCCTCTGTTTATCATATTAATATTTTGATGCTGTTGAAGCTGAAAAAAGTGGGCAGGTAGTCACACACAGCATTATAAACTCACTGAACTCTGACAGGCTGCAACAGGCTAGTTTTGGGGCCTAATGAACTGGTAATTTCGGTGGGTTTCAGCTGCAAACTCAAATCCACTTGCAGCCAAGCGTGGATGACTGAGCAGGCACTAAGCATTGCACATCCAGACCCATTCAGGCTGCTACCTGCCCACCGCACAGCTCATACAAGGCTGTTTGAGCCAACAGTCCCCCAGTAACCTCTCCACAATTCCCCAGGGAGCTTCATCATGAGACAGCACCTCATTGCTATGACAGTCATGGGACATACCCTCAGATACTGTTTTCAAGCCAAACTCCTGTTTGGGAGTTCTCAGCACAACTTGGACAAGGCACTTTGCCTGCAGATGCGTCCCGGTCAGGATCACAGCGGGTTGGTGGCACAGCTGGGAAAGGACCACAGTTTCCCAGTCCAGAGACAATGTGCTACTGTCTCACTCAGCAGTCCTCAAATACTTCATGCATTCCTCCCCACACCAGGAGGCCAGCAGCTTGCAAAACAACATGGGCCACGCTACTGAAACAGGGCTGCTTATGCACTCTGCCAACCCCTCTGGTCTGCAGGAAGAGGCTGCCTTCTGGTTTGGTACTCCATCCAAGCAGACCCTTCAGATAACCAAACCGTCTCTGTGGCAGAGAAGGAAGTTGCACAGACAGCTGAGAACTATGACACAAGTTGTTAAACAAAGAAGCTCTGAGGAGGTTTCCACAGCTAGCTGTTTGCCTGAAGCTCCACCAGCCTGGTGTAGAGATAGGAACCATCCCACCATCCTCCTGCACCTGAGGTTAGATGAATTCCCACAAGTCAGTAGGGCTGACAGGTAGGAGAGTCTCCTCCCAGAGGCACCTCTATGCCCACCTTCGTTTAGCATTCCCATAAGGACCAGGCATCTTAGTTCACCTTGAGCTATTAAAAAATAATCTCAGTTCAGCAACCAGCAAATCAAACTCACTCTTGGACTATTCTTCAATACTTAAAAGCAAGGAGCATAGGTATTGGCATTCATCAGCATCTTCAGTTCAGGGATTTGCCCAAAGTCACAGCTCCTATGAAGGGAATTGGGGTAGGTGCTAAACTCCATGCTGACCAAAGGCATGTCCCCATATTAGCTTTCCTCCAAACCTTAAGCTAGCTTCCAGTTTCACCCTAATGGTTCTCACAAGTACCACTTATTAGACCAAATTTTGCTTTAAGGCTCATCTCTGAAAATGTAAGCCTTTCAGAAAAGGAGCATGAACTCACTCACCTCCCTTGGGAAAAAACCCAAAAAGAAGTTCAAAAAAGATCAAATAAAACATTATTAAAACTGACTTGTTTTCCTGAGTGGAGGAAACAAAGAAATTGCTGATAAGATCTAAAGTTTATTGGCACTTGCAAGGGCAAGGGAAAAGAGACTCAGGTCAAGGGCAGGACACATGCAAAGCAGAAATAAGGCCCCTGCAGATGAATGCATTTCCCCAGCCTGAAGAGCACTGGATTCAGACTGGCACTTGAGAGATCTCTCTCCATCCCATCAGAAAGAGGTCAAAAAAAAAAAAGACTACATGAAGATTTACCAAGGCAAGGCACAAGTCTGAAACAACAGAAAGCTTTAAGACTGACTTGGAAGGAATGGTGAAATCCTTCCAGCCATAAGAGCGAGTTTGTCCTTTTCAGGGTTTCAGAGTAAAAAAAGTTCAGCATTTTCTCCATTATAAGCAAGAGCCCATCGTCACGCCTTCTGGTGTGGCTCACTAGAAGAGCCTTAAAGCCCACAAGAGGTTGCAGTTCTTTGGTCCACGTTGCAGTCACAAAGTCAGTAAGTGACACCAGAAGCAGGATTGCTGGTTGCTGGGTTTCTCCTTGCTACCCAGCTGGTCTACCAAGCCAAGGACAAAGCTGAGTTTTCCTGTTAACCTCACAAAAAATAGAGTGGGGATTTTT